GTTAGAGTTGGCCTTTATATGTTTAAAAGACGACAGTCAGGATAGAAATATGGAAGCTGTTACTAGTGACTTGGTTTTGTAGCCAGTGAAGTGATGGAACAACACGTATACACATGCAGGTTCTGGGCCAGTCACTAGCCAACTGGTAAAGTCAGGATAAGGATGACACCTGTGGAGCTTGCCCTTTCAAAAACAAGTCAACATTTGCAGCTCACATCCTTCTGTCCTTAAGAGATTCCTTTTGAAGCACAAGTGTGCTTTAACATAAAGTAACTCGCCTTTCCCCACCCCGGACTGTTATTTACGTTAATCTCAAAGCCTATTGTATTAACATCTCGCAGAAATCTTCTTTCTGCTGGCCATGTCTTCTATGGGGCCATCTCGTGAGCCTGAAGGTGCTCAGGAGATGCCTCTGTAGAAGACTGTTATTTACCTTAATCTCAAAGCCTATTGTATTATTAACCTCTCACAGAAATCTTCCTGCTGGCCATGTCTTCTATGGGACCATCTCGAAGGTGCTCAGGAGATGCTCCTGTAGAAGCCTTTGGGGATCACCAGTGCAGGCATGGTCAACAGCGAGAATGAGGATCATCAATGAGCATCACTCAAAATACACAATACAGTCTAACTGTACAATCAACTTTAGATCCACCAAAACTAAGTAAAATGAGGACCGACCTAATCTATCCACTCAATTTGCATTCAATCATGCAGGCCCTTGCCCTACATACTTGTTGGTAGATCTAAAGAGATTGTACAATAAGATTGTAACATGCGCGGTGAGCTTCAGATAGAGACCCTCTGTATTCTGTGCCCACCACTGGCTACATGCACAGCGTACCATCAATAAAAAATAGAGACTGTTTCCTCTCATTTTATTTTGCATAGGAGTGCACACTCTGAGTACTTTTCATGTACAGTGATCGTTCAGGCTCCAGCCACTGTTAAACACTTGTTTATAGGCGGGATGAAAGGGGAGCAGGGGAGTGGCTTGTCGCAGCTGCTATTGGGAAAGTAGAGTTGGTGATACTGAACCCATGGCAGAGATTACTATGAACACATTTCCTGGAATTTATCAATCCTTTAGAGTTGTCACATCTCTGCATGACAAATGTTGGAGCCTGCAACAAATTCATGTAACTGTTATATGAAATTGTTTCATGGGGGCATGGTGAGGGGCAGCGCTGAGGGCAGAGTGTCCATACGGCCACACTCCATCCTCAGTGCATTTTTAGCCCTTTGGCCGACAGCATGATAGCAACCAAGGACGAGGGCAGAGTGTCCATACGGCCACACTCCATCCTCAGTGCATTTTTAGCCCTTTGGCCGACAGCATGATAGCAACCAAGGACGATGTGCAGCCCAGCTGACAGCGTCCTAGAAACCTGGGGAGGGATCATGGGGTTTCATGGCTCGCTTCAGAATTACATTAATCTCTATTATCTCCTGGTTTTATACTGTTGACATGTCTGAATCTGAAACACATGGTATTATAAACTACCAAACTGCAAACCTTTTATGAATTTGGCAAAAGAGTGTTAGATACAGCTGTAAAGCACTGTTGTAATGTGCTGCAGCATATAATTAACCTAAAAGAAAATTAAGCACTGCAACATAATACATCGCATCTTCACACCACAAGGCAGCTCCCACATGCTATGTTTTGCCATGTGGTGCAGTGTGACAAATCCTAACAAATCCTAAAAAAAAACCAATGGCAAAACATTTCCTCTGAGAACTCGCAGACCCCACCATACATCTTGCACAGCCCGCCCACCTGAGACCCTAAAAACTAGCAAAGCAAACCAGGGACCCCATCCAGCCCACCGGAGACCTTGCAGAGCCCACCACAGACCCCGCATAGCCCACCAAAGACCTTGCAGAGCCCACCACAGACCCCTTATAGTCCACCTGAGACCTTTGTTTTAAACTTTTTTCTATACTGTTACATGACCGCAAAGCTCCAGCTCCTTTGTGTAATGTGGAGGCCCCACAATGGGAATGAAATCCATAACTAATGACCTTACCTGCTGGCATCCATTGCTCTAAGGCTTAGCCATTATTGGCAAAGGAGAGAATTCCCTTCCACCAGTCAGGCCAGAAAGAGTTAGAGAACTTTGCGGACATAACATTTGTTATATAATATATGCAGGACCATGGGGAGAAAACATTGCAATTTGTCATATATAATGTATGTAGGACCATATGAAGAAAAGGGACAAAACATTTAAATGTTGGTTTATTACATAACCTTTCCTTCTATTACTTCATTTACTTTCCTACCAAAGGATATGCCATTCAGCTAGTCTTGTAATCCCAACACCCCTGGCCGACAGCAAAACCAGGTTGGTAGGTCCCTTTTTTTTCCATTTAAGTTAAGCAGTAGAGCTGGGTCATAAACCTGATTTGTGCATCATACTGAACCGACCTCCTGTTCTATGGGGGGACTGCAGGAAACAAGTGTGTGTGTATATAGATATATCTATCTATATAGATA